AATGTCGAAGCCTCCATTTTGACACTTTTGCGCTAGTTCTTCTCAAAAGATTTGGCAAGCAAAGATACTTCTATCCTCGAAAATTGCTCTTCTCGAAATTCTTCTTTAAACTTCTTAGGCTTCTGAGAACTTGAAAATTTGCCTGGCCACTGAATCGATCGAGTGATCTCGAGGCTGGGATTGTTCTCGTTCCAACCAGTTTTCAAGACTTGACGATTGCTTTCTCTGTGCGATTTTTTTCGAACGTCGACAAAGTTCAACAGGGCGAAACATTAGGATTTCTTGGACTTTTGTCGTCACGTGCAAAACAATCTAGTTTCAAGATGTTGATCTAAAGGAATGATTTCGATTATGATAGATCGTAGATAGAGAAAAAAGATTTCGTTTCTATTTTTACAGTTTTCGACAACAGAAATGTCGTCTGCTTTTTCATTTGCTGCGACATTTTTCGAAAGAGAAGAAGAAGAAGAAAAAGAAAAAGGAACTCGAAATTCTGGTACAGCAGAAGCTTTACGTTTTATCGATCGACGTACGATTTTGCTTTTCAAAAACACATTTCAAAAAAAAAAAAAAAAAAATGGAATTTTTTCTCCAGTCTTTGAATACTGGCTACGAGTTTAAATAAAAATTTATTTACGTTGAACGCGACAAGTTTCTATGGAGGGCTCCATTTGTTTCGGAAATCTCATCAGGGGACATTGCAGTTTGCTACGAAATTCCAGCTCACCGATCACGAGAGCTCGAGTGAAAATTATTGAATCGAAGACGCTGACGAGCCGAACAACAACGAGTTAACTTGTATTCTCTCGGTTAACAGGTTCGTAACGCCGCGTCGTGACTTGAAAGTATGTATTACCTTGTATGCTCGTTGCAGTCTAATTCACGTCGTTCGACTGTGTCACCGGCGATCCGTTCGTATTTGTGAACATTTTGAAATTCAGTCATTCCTCACTCGAACACGAAATCGAGTGATTTTCTATCTTGCGAGCAGGAAACATTGCAAATATTGACCTACGGTTAATTATAAATGATTAAATCGTCTATCGTCTGTTTAACTGAACAACATCGTCGATAACGATAACCCGTTTGTCCTTTCCTCTCCTTATTCGGAATTAATTCACTGACATTTTCCATCGTACCTCTTTCTCTTCTCTTCTCTTTTCTTTTTCTTTTTTTTTGTTTTAAATCTCTGGGTAAAAAAGAAAAAAGAAAAAAAGATCGAGTTAACAGATTGCACGCGTCGGTAATTATCATTCGTCGTGAAATTGAACGACACGTACAGCGGAATCGATTGATTTAATAACGTTGTTATTAATCCATCTGCATTTTCTTTCGACTCGAAGCTTCATCGAGATCGTCTTCTGCCTTCGTTCTGCGAATCTCTCGCTCTCCCATCTCGTTTTATCGCGGCACTCGCTCATCCCTCTCCCTCTCTCTTTCTCTTTCTATCTCTGCCTGACGCTGCTCGCTCGAGAGATCCGTTTGGGTCGACGGCCTGAATCTTTCGATCGGGCGAAAATAGATCCAGAAGTGCTCTTCGTCAACTGCATATCGCCACGACATCGGTACGCGGTCCACCGTTTGCGCGCGCGTGTGTGTGTGTGTGTGTGTGTTCGGACGAACGCGAAAAAATAGGCGGCGCCGCGTTCCCGATCGCTGGACTCCAGAACAGATCGTTCTAGAACCCGTTCTTTTTCTCCCACCTTCGCCCCGATACGCGATTATTCGATCGACACGGTTGAGAATTGCTGTCGTCTATAATTTTTTCCGTTGATTTTTTCCTTCTTTTCTTCTCTTTCGCCTGGCCTAATTTTTCTTGGCGATTCCATTGATATTTTCTTTTTCTTTTTTTTTTTTTTTTTTTTTTTAATCAAATAATGGAGTAACATTGAAAATTTGAAATTAAGCGAAGATGGTTCACGCGTGTGTTTGCAATTCTACCTTTAAAAGCATAATTTAAACTGCAAGGTGAAAATATAAAGTCGTGGAAGGAGGTTAAGTAATAAGTATTTATTATTTTATGGAAATATTCTGCACCATTGATTGTGTATATATACTAATAAAAATACTAATAAAAAAAATTAGTTTTATAAATAAAACTTCTAATTTTATTAGAATTATAAAAAAAAATTAAAACTCTAAATTTTTCTATTATAAGTTGGTCAGTTCCTGATAAATATCAAACTTCAAAAAAAAAAAAAAAAAAAAAAAGAATTTGTAATAAA